GCATTTTCCCTCTCCATTTTATCATAAGCTCTGTTGTTGTGACCTCTAGAGTGAGTAAAATAGGAGAAAGTTGGGGGCAGAAGGTGCAGAATCTGGTCCCAGTTATCACATCAGTGGTCTCAAGCTGGTGAAATTAATGATGAAGGTGCCACATGTCTGTGCAGACCAGAGGAGACGGGGGTGGAGTGAGGGAGGAAGGAAGGGATGTGGGGAATCACAGAAGGGTTTGGGTGGGAAGGGACCTGTAAGGCCCATCTAGCCCAACCCCTGCCATGGGCAGGGACATCCCCAACCAGAGCAGGTTGCTCAGAGCCCCGTCCAGCCTGACCTGGGGTGTTCCCAGGGATGGGGCATCCACCACCTCTCTGGGCAACCTGGGACAGGGGTTCACCACCCTCATCGTGGAATGTTTCTTCCTTATGTCTAGTCTAAATCTGCCCTCTTTTGGTTTAAAACCATTACCCCTTGTCCTACCAAAGGTCGACCGTTTGTCTCCTTAGGTGGGAGGAATGGAGGCATTAGAGATAGTAGTGAGAGGAGGACGATGGGGTTCCTGTCTGGGACAATAGGCATGACATAGAGGGGAGAAAACAGCTTTTGGCTGCATTAAAACCCAGGAATGTTGATCCAATAGTCACAAAGTGTGGCTGGGCCCGGTGTCTGTCAATATTTCCATTTGAAAAATGTTTTCCAAGAGTTTCAGTCAATGTAGGAACTTCTCAATTCGTCCTGCAGCCAGGAGGTCCAGAGGCATCTGACTTGACCTGTGGATGTTCCCCCCAGCTTCACCCTACCACAAACTAATAACTGCAGTCCTTCTTCCCAACCCAGTTCCTCTCCCCTTGCCCCCATGGTGCCCTGGATTCGCAAGAAAGAGCCATGCCGTGGCTAATTTTAAGCTATGTACATGCCAGTTGGCTGGTCAGTCAGCAAAGGCTGGTTGGCCAGGTGGCAGTTGCCAAATGTTCACCTGCACTTCTCTCTCCTCATCATCAATCACAGCAAAATTTGCAGGAAGGAAATGGTGACCGAGCTGTCTTACCCCTCTTTTGAATTTGGCTGAAATGGGTTTTCCAAGCACGGAGCAAGGAGAGAAAAGGAAGGGACAGTGGAGAGGTGGAAAGGAGGTTAAAGAGGTTTCTCTGCTGTGACAGTTCACGAAAATGAGCACAGATTCGTTTGCATCTTTTCTTGGGAGATTCAGATGCTTTCTGAAGATAGAGTCCCACCAGACCCTTATACAGCTTTAATGAATCCGTTCCATGCGTGAATACACAGAGGCACAGAAAGATTTCAGATGCAGTGAGAGGCAGCAAAGATGACCTTTTTTTCAAATTTCTGGGGCAGCTGATGGCTTCCCAAATTGCCCATGGCATAAAGCATCAGCCCAGAGGTGTCCCAACACTGGTTTGCTCTGCGTTTCTCACACAGAGCCTTCAGCTTTCTGCTTTTTGGGAGGACGGTGGGGATCAAAGTACCCCAAAAGAAATAATGGCATACGCTGTTATCCGGAAAACATCAGTTTTCTTTTGAGTGGGTCCATTGCAAATGTGCGCGTCTCTGTGCACAGCATGGGCGGGGCATACCCACCAGATACTTTTCCAGTTTAATATTTTCTGGACAAATATTTCAGTATGATGCTAAATGAAACTGTTTACAAGTGAAGGCTGACCTTTGCAAGTTCTTCTGAAGATCTGGGAGAGAAAAGTGGAAGGTTTTTCTCTCAGCATTTCAGAACATGACATTCGTATCAATTTTTTTCTCCTCGATGTTGTTTCTCCTCAGCATTCATTTTAAAGTTTACCCCAATTCATTTACTTTGTAAAAAGAATTGGTTTTATTTTAAGTAAGACCACTTTGAGGGATAAATGAAGTCTTTATTTACTTTCTTCTCTGAAAAAAAAAAACCCTCAGAAACAACATTTTGTCCTAATCCAAATTTTGTGCAGTGCTTTTTTTCCTTTTTCTTTTGATCTTTCCAGAGAACTGAAAAATAAATAAACCGTTTTTTACAGTGTAAGTTATCCTGCAACATAAAGAGCCAAAGGGAAGGGCTTTCCCAGTTTTCATGAATAGGAAATCTAGTATTATTCTTCCACTAATGTGACTGGAAGCAGAGAACAGGCAATAAACTTCTTCCTCCTTTATATCACGTTGATGCTGAGGATTCTTAGCTCCTCTATTCCCTTGCCCAGTTAATGCTTTAGAAGATAGGCAGTGATTAGTCTGGTCCTTTTCATCAGCACTAAATTAAAGATAAGAAATCAGCTGTTAAATGATGAGCTTTTGTGTTGTTTTTCATATCCTAAAATACCAGCAAACCTAATTGATCACTGTCAGCTTTGACCCTGGAGGGCACCATGCCAGCCAAAGGTCTTTAAAGCAATCCTGGATTCTTATTTAATCTTGTGAAAGCACATTCATTATAAAGGATAAACTACTGTTTGGTTGAAAGACTGCTAAGGCACTAGCTTTGATATTAATGAAACATGCTGAGATCTTGGCCGTGCTTATCATTTCTTTACTAGAGGAGGTCTTTTGCAGAGAAGAGCAGGCTGCTCCGTTTTAGTTTGATTCGCATGTAATTTCTCTCTGTCAGACCCTTTATGCGCTGTTGATAAACTCCTTCAGGGGCTGCCGTCGGTACGGAGCACAGACACTGCTCTGAAAGCAGAGCTGGGGCAGATTCACCAGTGTTTGCTTTTCACTTCAAATACTCTACTGCAGCAGGATTTTTAACCCATGGGTGCAGTTAACACAGGCCAACACAAAGCACCAGGTTAAACCTGGGTGTGTAGTCCTTCCTGAATTCCTCAGGGACTGGAAATGCAGCCTGTGTTGAACATCCACGTCTGAAAGGGAAGATGCTGCCTGGTGGGACCGGGAGCTTATGAAGCAAAAGCTGCAGAAATGGGCGGCTGGCAAGCTGGAAGGATGTCAGAGGTGGGGAACGGGGTTTAACTTCCTTCTTTTTAAAGCAGTGTTGAAAACGAGGTCAGCTCCCACAGCTTTGAAGAAGCCTGGAGGATTTCTCAGCCCTTCTAAATACAGATGAGTTCTGGCTTTGTCCCGTGCAGACTGAGTAAACAGACGATGAGGAAGATGAGACTGCTGGGCAAGTGCCCATCTCCCAGAGCAGTCTGCCTCCAGTGCTGGTATCTCAGCTGCTTCAGAGGCTGGTGGCAAACACCACGGGGTGTAGAGTTTCGCCGTGACCCTCTTAGCCTACGTGCTCATGTAGGACGTGATGCTGGAGCCTTTGAACCATACCTTGAATGCTGGTATCTCTGCTTCTGAAGAGAGAAGTGAAGTTTCTCATAATTATAGGTTGATAAAAGACCTGCTTAGTTACTTCTCAAGTTCTGGAGAACTGCAGAATGACAATTAAAGAACTTTAAATATATACCTGTATACTTGTCAATTTTCAAAAAAAGGTTTTGGGAAAAAAGTCAGACATAAAATGTGGGAAAGGAGTTTTTTTGTGGTTTGTATCTCTGCTTTTCCTTGCACTAAGCACATAAATCACATACATCTGCAAATAAACTAACATACACAGAGGGAAGAGAGAGACCTGTGTATGGGGGGAGGCAGGACTGCTCCTTCAGGGCTATTTTGGCTTTCTTCAATGAACAAAAACTTGCTTTAACTTTTGATCAGCCCTGATTTGGTCAGGCAGCTGGACTAAATGGTCATTGTAGGTCCCTTCCAACTGAAATAGTATGTTCTATTCTAAAACAAAAAGGGAGAACAAGGGTAATTTAAAGAAAAATCTTCTAACGACCACCTCCTCATGCCCTTCTCAAAAGGTTGTGAGCCTAGCAAAGTGGTACAACAGAGAGAGAGAAACAGGATATTTGCATTCCCGAGGCAACGGGGGCTCCTGTGATTTCTCCACCTGCCCGTTCTCTTCCTGCTAATTTTCTGAAAACCTGTGACTGAGCGAAGGGCAGAAATCCAAAATAGTGAGTAAGCAGTGGGGAAAGCCGGGAAAACTCAACCATTGTACACTGTGCTTGGTCAATCAGCGTGTGTGTGCTGCCAGCCAATTAGCATGGGCACAGCTCCAAATCAATCAGTGCGTCACCTGCATCTTGCCCCATGATGACATCACAGGGAAATGGGGAGAGAGGGAAACTGAGACTCATGAAGTCATAGGCAAAAAGGATGCCAGATGGGAAAGGATGCAAATCTTTAGAAAAGAGAAATTCCATCGTTTCACTCCTTGTGAAGCAAGGTAATAAAATATTCTTTATTCATGGTTAGGAATATTGCCACAGACACTTCTCTACAGATTCTTGCTAGTCTTAGTGTTACTTGAAAGCACAGCCAAATTCAGGCACGCAAGCGCATCTGAGAAAGCAGCAAAGCCTTGCAATATAGCATAGCACTGGCTGATATAAATAATGAGTTAAAATTGCAGCTGAATTTGGATTAATGGTCTGTAGGCATTAAATCATAGAAAATCTACTCTGTGTCCACAAACACCTTCCAGGGAAGCCTGAACTGGTAGCTTTGAGACTCACAATAATGCAGCCACAGCATAATCTAGCTCCTTGGTAGCCTGGGCTCAGATCTGTGCTGCCATGTCAAGGCTATACCCAGCCAAGCTGCCTTTGGCATCTCCGGGTTGCCCGTCAGTCTACAGTGTCCTGAATGCTCGAGTCCTCCAGTTCCCCACTCTGCTCTCCTGCCTCATTTCCATTTCTTCCAGCCCACAAGGGAAAGCAACTTTCCAGACGCATTGACCCCTCTCAGAGAGTGCTCAGCTATTGTCCCGTGTCTGACCATGTCCTTCTGAAATAAAACCTGGGAGAAACTACACCTGCTGGAGCTAAACGCTACGAAGAAAATTGCCATGATGCAGACAAGTAGCTTTCTCATATTGAGTGACTGACTGCTGGCTTTTTCACGGAGAGCCCTCTCCAAAAGGTGGGACGCGGGTATTAGTGTCACTTCTGCAGGTCCAGTGACTCCCTTCTATCTTTGTGTCTCTTCCACAGATGGCTTTTGTCTTCCTGAATGGGATGGTATTGTCTGCTGGCCTGAAGGTGTGCCAGGCAAAGTGGTGGCGATGCCGTGTCCCGAGTACATCTATGACTTCAATCACAAAGGTAGGTGTTGTCCTCAGAGTCAACAGAGCCTGGTAAGCTGCAGCAAGGGGAGGCCTGGGAGTCAGAAAATTAGAAATCCTCTTTAGCATCCTTTTTTTTATCAGATGGAGACTCCCATCCAAGCAGGAGTAAAGCCAGGAAAAAGGAAGTAAAGAAACAACATTTTTTTTTCAAGCTGGGAGAGAAGAAAAGCTCTGTTTTGACCTAAACAATGACAATTTTCCCATCTGCCCAACCCAGACTGTAATGGGGCGTTATAGGCACCGATTATGTGCTTTCAACCGGGTAGTCTTGCAGGGTTACAAACCTGTATTTGTTTGACGCCACAAACTTTGCATAGCAATAGAAACCCGCAAGATGTTCTTCCAATTTATATTCTTCCCTTCACCAGTTTGTTAATTCTAGTCCCTGATCTCTGCCCAGACCCCTACGGTGGGTATCTGAGAACGGCGCTGGTAACCAGGACGTGTGCATTCCTCCCTATCTCACTTTCCCCCAGGCAGTGCATTTCTTGGCTTGCTTCTGGTGCCACGAAGTCTGTGCATGTTTTTAGGAGCAATCGAAATACACTCGCTCCTCAGTGTATTTTCAAAGCTAAAGCATTCTCCTTTCTCAGGCAAAGCTCTGCACTCAAAGACTGAAAAAATCAGAGAATTAAGATTTTATGTTCCCAGCAGAGCACCGATGCTGTTTACAGAAAACAAGTAATGATATTCCAGTGCACCCTGGTTGCACATAATCTTTTTTGTAACGGATTGTGAGCTGGGATAGCTTGACCCTGGCTGATGACCTCTCGCAGAGACCCATGCACAGGTACTTCACATTAGAGGCCAGGAGAAACAGGCAATCCATCCCTTTTTGCTCCATAACCCAACGTGGCATGGATTCCCCACCTCACTGATGTCCACTGGTCAGGTCAGCTAGGGTAGGGGTCGGATTAAGACCCTTAGATGCAGAGGTCTCTATAAGCTGTAGACACGGGACAGAGAGCTCTGTTGGCTGGTTGTATCCCTGCTAACTGTAGTGGGATTTTTTACACACAGCTCATGTGATGATACCCCCACACAGACATCTGAACATGGATGTTTTCAATCTGCTACCTGAATCCTGAGGTGAAACCTCACCTTCTCTTCTTTCTCCATCATCATGAGGAGGGTAGCCATAGAAAAATCTACCTTGAGATGCACTGAATCTGTAAACAGAGAGCAGCATAATATAGATCACTGTTTATTTTTATAGTGAGAGCTGCAGCTCTGAGGATGATTCTGTGCTCTGGGACTTAGCTCCTCTCCTTGGTTTGTAGTCCCAATATCTTAACCTACAGGAGGTGCAACTTGTTATTAGTTCTTTGGTGTTTCTCGGTTAGAAAGCTGGTAAAGTTCCTAAGGAGTTGGAAACTGCATTCTTGCAGCTCAGCTTCAAAGCAGGCAGGAGGCATCAAGGTTGATGGGATCCAGCTTTGGAAGAAGTTTCTCCTGTTCTACCAGGTGTAGTCCCATTGACTCTGTCTCTGGCTTCTGTCTCACAGGCCATGCTTATCGCCGGTGTGACCTGAACGGGAGCTGGGAGCTGGTCCCAGGCAACAACCGCACCTGGGCAAACTACAGTGAATGTGCCAAGTTCCTCACCAACGAGACAAGGGAAAGGGTAGGCAACTGCATTTGTGCATGGAGCATGAAGTGCTGGCCTCATCCAGGGCTAACCTAAGGAGCACTGTCTCAGTTAAAACCCTTGATGAGCTCTAGTTTGCTACCTCCTCTTGGAAACTATGTCCAAGCTTGCCAAAGCCACATTTTTGGTTTTATGGGGAATTACTTGAATTTGAAGTTGTCCTCAAAGCCAGAAAGGGTTCCTCCAGCTGCCGTGATGCCATTTGTAAAAAGATCTTGGGGAAACTTGAATTGGGCTCGGGGACACTAAGAAGTGGTTGGAGGTTGTTCTATGCCATTGAGACCCCCTTTTCCCCACCAGGCAATCGTTTTGCTACCAGGTTGTTACCAAAAATCCCAATGCTCATGTGCTTGTCTGCGCTGGGGATGTACAAACACAGAGCTAAAAGATGTCTCAATCAAACCAGTTAGCAACCCGGCTTCTGCAGGTGATTAGCAGATAACCTCTTGGTTCAGAGGTATAAGTTAAAGATCAGAGGTTTTATGCGGTCTTTTGATTGCAGATGGGCAGGGACAAAGTCCTCTGCTAAAGCAAATTAACATGTAAGAACAGAGCTTGAACTAATCCTGGTGTATCACAATTTTGAAACAGGGACACCAGTCCAAAGTTAGGCAAAGGATTCATAGCACATGGAGAGGGTTTGGTATGCTCCGGGGCGGGGGGGTGGAAAAAAGAGAAAAAAAATCTATCTATACATCAGATCCGTGGGCCTTATTTTTACATAAATTCAGGGGATTGGCAAAATAGTATCTGGTATATAGCGAGGCAAAAAATTCTTACCTCTGGGTGTGAGCCCAGCTGGGTCTCTAGTAGTGCTTCTGAATGTCTCCCAAGCTGAGCGCATCACAGAAGCAATTCTGTGCTAACGTGACAGCAAAACTGTCAATGGAGTCACCTGAAAGGATGTGACCTTGTTTCGCAGAGAAAGGCATTTCCACCCACACATGGTTGCTGCTCTACTTCTGTAATTCGCAAAGAATTTAGCAGAAACCTCTGGTTTCTCAGTGGTGCTTGGAGGATGTTCTCCTTGGATATAGACTATGGCATTAGGGACTGATCATTTGCAGCAAGGGTTATTTTCAGACGGTTGGAGATAAAGATCTAACCACAAGCTTCATGGTGGGTGGGGAGCAGGCTTGAAGATGACACACAGTCCCTTTGGGAGAATGCTCTTAATTTTAAATCCAATCACAGCGTAGGCTGGTTTTTGGGGTTTTTTTTCTCAATGGTGAAGCAACATATGAATGAAGTTGTTTAGCAAGGAAAAAGATTATTTGAGCATCCACATGTATTATACCACACAGACAAGGAACACACAAGGTTGTATACACCAGGTACTGCTCCAGCTACCTAATAGCAAAGTGTATTGTCTCAGTGCTGGAAGACGCTCACCTTTAGAACAAATTTGGTAGGACTCATCTTTTCCTAGTCCCTGTAGTGGAAAGGACCACTTTAGACCCAGAGGTTTCTGGGGTATGTATTGGAACCATTGAGCATCTTGCTCACACTGAGGGCTTTACTGAATTACACAGCTTCTTGACCTCTCTGAAGTCATTTCCCCTGTCCCACCTCTCCCAGCCATGTCTTGTGGTGGGAGTCATGTGCTGCAGACCTCTCCATCTGAGCAGGTCTCTTAGATTTCCTCTAGGGAAAGGAGGTCCTTTCTTTTAAACCTCCCATGCTGGCAGCTAGGACTTGGTCAAGGTAAATTGGTAGGGGAAGTATGCAAAAAAAGAAGAGTTTTCCATTTATTACTAGCATGAGGAAGAAATAGAGACTTTCCGTCCCCAGGCATCCTAGGTTGGCAAAACAGGCTGAAAGCAAAGCCTGTTGTCCTGGGTTTCATGGATCTGTATCCTCGGTTATATATATCTGTACGTACTTCATGATGCAAAAGACTTCATTTTTATTCTCAACTTCTGCTGTTACTTGGAAAATTACTGCTCCTCTTTATGAGCCCTTTTAATGAAACGTCCCAAGATTATCACCCTCATTATTCTGTACACAAGGCTTAGTCATCTTTTGCCATGAGTTTTCTGTTCTAGCTACACAGAGATGAATATAATGATATCTAATGGCAAGACAAACTAGCCCATCATCATTGTTCAGATTAAATGTGCAACATGGTATTGCCTAAGTGATGCCTGCCCAGTGCAAAGAATATTAGAAAAAATTGAAGTTTCCCACAGCTTTGGAATTGTATCTTGATTAACAAATGCTTTTCAACTGCAGCTATTATTATTATTATTATTATTATTATTAACCTTGTTTTTGCAAGAGGTTGCTTTCCTCTGTCCGGATGTGCACTGACCTCATAGTGATACTGCATTTTGTCATGTAGTTGCCTTGTGTTACCATAGGGGTGCCTCTGCCTTTTAGTGAGAAGTCAAGCAATGCATATACTTCTACTGCAGGTCTGTTGGGCCTTCTGGTATGAAAAACACTGTGGAAATAAAAGAGCAAAGGAATAACCTTTTTTTCTTTCTTACTTGGGTGATGACTTTCAGAGAGCAAGGAAAGTCTCTTGTCGTTCACACCCAAGAGTGGTTCTGAAGTGCTGGTATTAATAAATCTTCCTTTGATTTTTTTTTTGAAGTAAATATGTCAAAAGATGCCAGAATCAGGGAATTTGGCAAGATAGACTAGTTGTCTGAAGAGAGAGATTGTTTTCTATTATTATTTCTCCCCATGGGGAACAGCATCTTTGCGTCACCAGTAACAGCTGCATTTCACCAACATTTCGAAAGGAGATCGTGGGCTGACTCCGAGTAAGACAGCATCTGAGCAGATGCAACCAGAGGAACGTTTAAGCAACCGTGCATTAGAAAGCATTAGGAAAAAAATGTCTGTCTGTGACCATCTATATATAAGCCTCTGCACTGCTGTCTCTAGAAATAGGCCTGTATCCATAGATAACTATATATTCAGATACACACACCTAAATAAACACCCACGTTCATGTGCACACACATATATATATGTCCATGTATGTTTGTTTAGGTGTGTAGTTTTCGCATTTTAGCCACTGTGGGATAATTATAAGATTGACCAAAGCAGCAAACAGAGGGCCAAAGAGAAAGTCTCTGTCTTTCGCTACCTTTTCCTGAACCATATAAATAGGATTATTTCACACAGAGCAGCACGGAAACCGCTTTCTGAAATTAGCAAAGTATGCTAAAGCCATCAGAGCCAGGAGAATTAACAGCTCGTAACTGCCCAGTGAGCAACTGCTCTTGGGCGGTTTTCTAAGGGAAAATTAGCACTGCTGAAGGGTGCCAGATTGACAGCCCTGAAGATTGATGTCTCCTCTTTAGCCAGGAGAGCAGGTAGGCTGCAGCTCGCTGTTGAAGTGTGTTTCCCCAAATACCTTGCAGATAGCGTTAATCTTGCCATGAACACCCATGTCTTGGGCACGGTCTGTAGAAGGCAGCTTTTAGCAAGGGGTAGGAAGGAGTTTGGTGGGAAGGTGTCTTAGCAGCGCGCCATGGGAAGATAAGACAGTTTTCTTTGTGTCTTTGGGACAGTGCTGAAAGCCACTGCTATGCCACAAGCTGCTTCCCTGAACCCTCATGTTCTGCTGTTAAGATAAACCATCACCAGCGCAGCAGAGATGGTGGAAAATCTTGTTCTCCCACTCCTTCCCCAGGAGCCATGCATGGGCACCCTCCATCCCAATCGCACCTTGGATCTTCAGAAAATCTCCCTGTCTCTGAACAGATAAGCTGAGAGATCCGTGGCTTCCCACTCCAGCACCCTGACCAGGCAGCTCTGCTTTGTTCATTTTCCATCCAAAGTTTAAAGACAGTAGGGGAAAGGAAGGAAGGGGAATGGGTTGGCCGGCGTTCGCTCCTTGAGGAAGGCAGTGTGGTTAAACACCAGCTGTTTGTCTGTCTGCTGTGCACTTCACGTCGCTGAGCCACAAGCTGCTGAACATTGGGAGAGGGTATAGAGCACTGCTACATAACCACTAGATGATGGGCACATAGATGTGTATATGTATATATGTGTGTGTGTATATATATTCTATAATTGTTCTGTTCTTACACTCTTCCCTAAGCATCTGTTCCTGGGCATGTCAGAGACAGGGAGCAGGGCTAAAAGGACCTTTGGTCTGGCCCAGATTGGCCATTTTCCTTGCAGCTTTCTTACGGTTCTCTTAAAATTAGAAGTCAGGGTGATCTGTCTTCCTGAAGCTCCTCAATCTTTGGATAAAATGTGGCACACATGGGAAGTCCTGATGTTCCCCTGGCATTAGCAGGCAGCTTTTTAGGCAATTTCTCTCCAAAAACCATAGTATCCTTCTGACCGTGGACCCCTTCCCTTTCACACTGCCAGCCAAGGGCAGAACCTTCAGCATGGTTCTGACCAGACCATTTTTCTGGTCACCTTTTTAGACGCTGGCAGGAGTAATGGCATATTTTGCTCAATAAGCAGAAAATTCCCTCATTCCCATCTCCCCAAAACCAACACTGTCCTGGTTTCAACTCTTCCAATTCTCTCCCCCATCCCAGCGTGGGGGAGTGAGCAAGTGGCTGCATGGGGCTTAGTTGCCGGCTGGGGTTAAACCACAACAAACACTAATGCCAAACACATCCTTTTTTTTAAAACAGGTCAAACCTATCCTGTTTTCAAGGATGAGCTTAAGGGTAAATATGACCTATATCTACTGAAATCATGGGGAAGGGGAATATGAGCCAGCAACTTGGGAGGTTAGCTCAGCTTGGAAACCACCGACCTCGCAAGATGGACCATCCTAAGATCTAACCCCAGCCCACCAGTCCTGTCTTCACCTCCTCTTGCTTGTTTATATCATGGTGGTTTTACTGCTTCTAGAGAAATCAGAGAGGCCTCAAGAATCCATCACATACCAAACACAATGGGAAAGGCACAGCATGTTGCAAGGCTGCTTTATCTAAACTCTGTCATTCAAATATCTTCTATGCCTGGCCTTTGTTCTTGGAGCTCTTTGGGGTCCT